AATAGTTGTATCACCATTGCATTGCTACTAGGGCTTTAATTCTATTACTGCTCTATTTCAACATTTCATACTACATACTCAACTTTGAACATTACCCACCCTGCCACTTTACATGGCAGCAGTGGTGTGTCGCTAAAGTATTATTTCTGCCCTAATAACCTATTCTGCCTTTATAACTTGTCTGTATATCTTGTATGTATGGCTTATTCAATTTAGATAAACCTGAATGGCTTCTCCAATTTAGATACGCCTGTATGGATTATCCAGTATATATCAGTGGTTGCACAGGCTGAGAGGCTCGTTTTTGGACCCTATTGAACTCAGAGTTGAATATAGCAGTTCAACTCCCAGACTGCCTGGAAAAGACTCCCAGACACTGCTCAAGACAGAGCATCCTCCATCCAAGGAGGGCCAGTCATTGAGCTACAAGGAGGGCTCTGTTGACGGACATGAGCTTCTGTGCTGCGCACTCTCAGCTCCAGAATCAACAATTTCAGCCGAGTCATGTGTTCTGCAAGTCGTCCACATCAGCGAGAATTGGTACATCCTTGAATAGTGTTATACACAGATGTATGAACTTGTTCATTTATTGCCCTGATTTATTTATTTTGGTTGTTTAGCCTAAAATGACTGAAACTAGAAATGTCATTTGTATCCTGTGTGGATAGTTTGACACAATCTTTACTGTTGTTTATCAGCATTTAACTGCACTAATAAAATAGCTTCAAAGAGTGACATTAACTTTGGTGTCTGCTTTAACTATGGGAAAAGTGGCTACTCAACTCCTTTTTTGATTTACTGGTCGACTAGTAAAAACCTATAGTCACACAACCACTAATACAGGTGTAAATACCCTCAAACTAAAGCTGAAATTCTGTCTATTAACATCATAGTTATTGTTTCATTTCACATACAAAATGCCGGACTACTGATCTGAAAAAATGTCATCCCACAATTATTTATTTATGTCCTACACTGTTCTCTACGGGCAGCACATCAAAAAGTTGTTGTTTGGTGATTGGCCTAAGGCAGGAGACACAAAGACACACCCAAATGGAAAATATGAATCCACAATGAGTTAGTAAATTACACAAACTTTTACCTGTGTCCAAAAGTATAGTATACTATATATGCATATATAAAAGATAATTGTTTTAAAGCAGTGTGAGTTAAGTGAGCTTAACTCACACTGCTTTACTCAAGTTTGCAGTTAATTAAGAAACTCTATCATAATTAAAGTGAGTCACCGTTTGTGCGTCTGTGTGTGCAGGTTTCACCCCTGAGATCTTTGATAAGCACTCCCTCTACTTACAGTATGAAGACATTAAGTCACACTGTATCTTTATAAACACCCACAACTGCTGCAAACCATCCGAAACAGATTTCTTTTTTAGTTTGCGTACTCAATCAACAGAGAGAAAGCTATGGGGAAAGCTAAACAAGCATGCACAAGCATGCACACACACACACACACAGACACACAGACAGACACAAGCACCCTCAGTGGGCATACGGCTGACTCAGTGTAATCATCTAGTCCCAATGGTGAGACATTAGACCATGCATCCTGTGCAAGGCAATGTTCAATGTTAAACTCATAGAGACTTTTAATAAGAGCTTTTAGTGCAAAATGATGACAAAAATAACGGTTTAAAAAAAAAAAGGTTTGGTGAACCTAAAAGTGACCACATCAGAAAAAAAGCTGCCTAAGTAATAATTTCTAGCAAGTCAGTATAATGGAGGGCTACGGCACAACAAGCAGTCTATGGTCTGTTTAGGAGCTAAAGTAGTATTCAGTGCTCAGATACAATATAGTCTAATGCAGTAAAACATGCAGAAAGAGCTCTCCATCACTTAGAGAACACAGCCAAAAAGCCCAAGAGAAAAATTCAATAAAAACAAATAATTTAGGGACTTAATGGATAAGTATTACAATGGCACAGCTAATCTTTGTCCAACTAAATTAACTAATGTACAATAGACTAATTCAGAGCCTCAACATTCAGGATGGAGAACATAGCACTGCAAAAAAATGGAAAAGCTGTAAAAGAAGGTGTACTATTTAACCACTGTGTTATAACTTTGTACTTTTGTGCTCTTAATGGTAATTAATTATTAATGGAGCTCCAGTCTTAAATATACACCAATCAGCCATAACATTAAAACCACCTGCCTAATATTGTGTAGGTCCCCTTGTGCTGCCAAAACAGCTCCGAGCCGTCGAGGCATGGACTCCACAAGACCTCTGAAGGTGTGCTGTGGTATCTGGCACCAAGATGTTAGCAGCAAACTACAAAGTCCTGTAAGCTGTGAGGTGGGGCCTCCATGGATCAGACTTGTTTGCCCAGCACATCCCACAGATGCTCGCTTGGATTGAGATCTGGGGAATTTGGAGGCCAAGTCAACACCTTGAACTCTTTGTCATGTTCCTCAAACCATTCCTGAACAATTTTTTTGCAGTATGGCAGGGCGCATTATCCTGCTGAAAGAGGCCACTGCCATTAGGGAATGCCGTTACCAGGAAGGGGTGTACTTGGTCTGCAACAATGTTTAGGTAGGCGGTCCGTGTCAAAGTAACAACCACATGAATGCCAGGGCCCAAGGTTTCCCAGCAGAACATTGCCCAGAGCATCACACTGCCTCCGCCAGCTCGCCTTCTTCCCATAGTGCATCCTGGTGCCATCTCTTCCCCAGGTAAGCGACAGACGTGCCCATTGTAGTCACTTTCAGCAGTGGACAGGGGTCAGCATGGGCACTCTGACCGGTCTGTGGCTATGCAGCCCAATAGGCAGCAAGCTGCGGTGCACTGTGTGTTCTGACCTATCATAGTTAGCATTAACTTTTTCAGCAATTTGTGCTACAGTAGCTCTTCTGTGGGATCAGACCAGACAGGCTAGCCTTTGCTCCCCATGTGCATCAATGATCCTTGGGCACCCATGACCCTGTTGCTGGTTCACCAGTTGTCCTTCCTTGGACCCCTTTTGGTAGGTACTAACCACTGCATACAGGGAACACCCCACAAGACCTGTCGTTTTGAAGATGCTCTGACCCAGTCGTCTAGCCATCACAATTTGGCCCTTGTCAAAGTCACTCAGATCCTTATGCTTGCCCATTGTAAGAAGATAATCAATGGTGTTCACGTCACCTGTCAGTGGACTTAATGTTATGGCTGATCGGTGTATATACATCTCTATTAATAATAGATATTATATTGTTATTACTTGGGCCATGTCTTGCAGTGCCTTTTGAATCTCAAGGGTTTCTAAAAACTTGTTAATGCCTTTATAGTGCAGGCATTTTGTGTTTACTGCACTCTGTTAAGAAGTACAGGGTGGAGCCTAACAGGGTGGAAATACAGAAGTAGGATTATCTATAATAGCAAAATTAGTCATCGTGGTAGAATAATGGTTAACCTTCAAAATATTAACCACATAATAATAAAATTTCAATATACAAACTTCAGTATCTATACTTCATATGTACATTTTACCCCTCATATCTCTATCTATCTATCTATCTATCTATCTATATATATATATATATATAGAGAGAGAGAGAGAGAGATACAGATAGATAGATAGATAGATAGATAGATAGATAGATATAGACTAAATTTTACCAAACACTGTACATTAATAGCCTCAGTCTAAAAGGTTGTATGTTATAGCAATAATATTTGAGCAGGAATATTCTTGACTAAATTCTAAGTTGGAATAAGGAAAAAACTCATGAGTGTTGGGAAGGGTGCATGAGGCTGCTGTGTTGCAGCATCCATACCATCAAGTGTGAGGTAGAACGGCTGGCTCCAGTCACTCCACTCGCTCCAGTAGTGAAGGTGATGGAGGCTCTTGCAGCGCACCTGAACTGTATATCTGACTCCAGAAGTGAGCTGACTCAAAGACACCCACGGATGCTGGACATTAAGCACCTAACACAGATAAACACACACATACACACACAATGAAATGCACAACATAGGTTTCAGAATTTAAAATCAGTGTGTGAAATCTTAGAACTAATTTTCTACAAATGTATCACAGTAAAGAACAAAAATCAGAAGCATGCAAGTGAATCTGCTTATGTTTTTCTATACCCATCTAATTGAATCTAAAACTAAATGATTGTAACTATATTACTGTAGCTGTTGCTGGTTTTACTCACCTCCCAGTGTGTGAGAGAAGTGTTGGATGAGTAGCGGAGCTCATAGTAAAGTGGGTGTTTATTATTTTGTGAGTCATTCCAGGCGATCATCACCTCACCCTCAGTAGTTACATTATAATGCAGATAAAATGGTGCGTCTGGCTTCCCTGTGAAGAGAAGTCATTCAGGAAATATTACAAGGAAGAAGAGTCCATCTTTGTGCTCTCTGTGCTTAATTTGAGCAGATGGTAACTTGATACCTACAGTATAATCTTACAACTTAGAAACACACCAGACATTAACACACTCACATTCTACTTTATCCAGGTCAACTCTGTATTTCAGACTAACTACTAATTATTACTATAACCTCTTATTATATGTCAAGATGATATATCTTTGTCTCAAAATTCTGTTGTGTGAGAGGAAATTTCTTCTTGAATGATTGTATGTTTTCATTTAGCTTCTGGATGCAATTTCCATGCTCATATAAGTTCTTTATCCCATGTCCTGCATTTATGCCAAGTTTATAGTTGTGTAATTTCTGAAATTTATGAAAATCCCACTCCCTAGTTGGATCCCACAACATCAATGGCATTAATAACCAAAACAGCAGAGCTTGGTACTATCGCTACAAAGTGATTTGCTTAGAGAATAAATGGGTCTACATTCATTGTTGTTGTTCTTCTTTTGGCTGCTCCCGTTAGGGGTCACCACAGTGGATCATTGGTCTGCATATTTGATTTGACACAGTTTTTACACCGGATGCCCTTCTTGACGCAACCCTCCCCATTTTTATCCGGGCTTAGGACCGTCACTGGGACTGCACTGTCATATGTAACCCCAGTGGCTGGGGCTGGTTCCCTGGCCAGGAATCGAACCCGGGCTGTGGCAGTGAAAGCACCAAGGCCTAACCACTAGTCCTCCAGGGACCCAAATGTGTCTAAATTCATTGATTTTGTTAAAAAAAATTAAATCAAGCAGGGACTCACAGTAAAGAAATTCAAAAACTAATATAAAGCACAAGTTCAAATGCACTCAGTTTTTTTGGTATCTACAAAGCTAAAGTGGGTGCGCAGCTGCTTTTACAGTGGTCATCTCAGATCGGTTTAATTCTGCATACTGCTAGGCTTTTACAGGCTTCAGACCATCACATGTGGTTTTACTGTAAATCGCCTCTCATCCATCTCATCAGTCACCCTTTGTTAATCTACACCGCAGGAAACTGTTTTAGTGGAAAATGGCCTTCTGTACATTTGTCATCAGGCTGCGGTGTAAAGAGCATTGATTTGAGCACACACCCCTTGCATTACAAATGCTTTTCCTATCAGTAGAAATCTACCTGGTTATCATGGTTTCCCTAAAGCATCCCTAAATACCTCAAGTACCTCAAATCTGTCAAGGTACAATAAGCTCATCAGGTCTGAGAAGTAGTTTCCTCTTAACTATAAAAAGTGATTGCAAGCCCACAAACAACATTTTCTCTCAACAATGTTCTCTCTAACAAATTTAATTATTCAGATTTCCAGATAAACGTCAATATTGCCTGTTGTTGTCTCAAAATGCCTTAGTGCAGCTTTAGTGAAGATGCTGTGGTGTATCATCATTCATTTATTGAATAAGAACAGGGAGCAAAGTCACACAGCGATCAAATTAGTGTCATATTATAACCTGAAAATAATTAATGATATCGAAAGCTGTTGTTACCAAATAAGTGTGCTGAAAATGTCACAAACAGGAAGTCATTGTTGTAACCGCATATCTCTAAAATAGACATAGGCAGGAATCATAGCTTCTTGCTGACAAAGCTTTTTAAAAAACAAAAACAGGAGACCTTTTCCTGTTGATGCAGATGTGAACATTATTCACTGAGCCTGCTACAGGTCGCAGCCTACTTTATACTGTGTGTAATATAAATTCGTAAAGAAATAAAGAAATAAACAGTCAGTTTAGAAACATTCTTGTCTGGTTTCGATCGTACTGACAGACCAGGTTATTAGCATTAATGGAGATACTTCAAATCGCACAAAGTGCGGTATGGTGTCCCATTAGGTTCTGTTTAAGGCCCACTATTGTTCTTGCTTTATATCCAGCCCCTACAGAACACGATTTCCACCTTTGTGTTGTGGTTCCCATGGTGACGAACGCCTTGTATCTCTGATCCTGTCCTGTCAGTGGTTTTGTTACCTGATTGTGTTCACCTGATCTGTATTACTCCTTGATTAGTCTGAATAAACCCTGCAGTTATTTTGTAGCATCTTATTCATCACATCACACATTATATTTGTCTTTCACTTTTACACTGATGACACACAATTTTATTTGAGCGTTTCAATTTGGCCAGATTTAGCAGGACATCTCTACAAAACAGAGAAGTGTGTCAAAGACATAAAAGCTTAGAATGGAAACTTCCTTCTCCTAAATTCTTATAAAGCATAAATAGAATTAGCAGGAAGAGAGGAATCATATTTATATACATGTATCCCCAGAAAGCCAGGAATGTTAGAAGGGGAACATTCAGGAGCTTTAGATAAATTAGCATGTAGGTATCTAGGGGTTGTCTATTAGCAAAGTATTGTATTTCCTTCAAATTATAGTACTATAGTCTTAGCTCTGGATGCTGGGAGCTTCACTCCCATACACTCATGCCCAGTGTACCTCTGTAACTAGCAAGACATCTGTAACATGTGGGCGAATGTGGCAGATGCAAGTGTGGGTGCTCAGCATGTTTTATTAGGGCGCATCCATAAATCAACATCATAGTTCATATCGTGGCTGACTACACAAGAAGGCAACAATAAAGTAAGATTTTTTTAATAAACAAGGTCAAAGCAGGCAAGAGACAAAAAAAACAGAATGTGGAAACAGGAAACAAGAATATGATGATCAGACTTAAAGATTTTAAAGAAATGCGCACAAAAAGACTTCACAATGAGACAAGGAAACAGCAGGGTATACAAAGACAAATAAATCAAGGAGTAATAAAAAACAGGTGGACACAATCAGGTAACAAACCAGTGACAGGACAGGAGTGGAGACAGGACTAGAACAAAAACAAAAACAAAAACAAAAACAAAAGCACATTGGTTTTATATGATGTATTGTTAAATGATTAGCACAGAACCTAGAGTAAAGTTTAGTACAGTCAATTATTAGGGATTATATGGAAAAAACTTTTATCTGATACTTACGCAGCAGGTCAGTGCTGATGTGCATCTCAGGTGTCAGTAAAGGACGACCACTGAGAAATCCACTAACAGACAATGACATAGAGACATCGTTGGCATCAAGGGCAAAAAAGCATGTAATCTCATCTTCGCCAGGACACTGCACCTGAGTAGTGATGTTCGTTTCATCTGACAATGTATCCGCCCCCAGTCTGAAACAGAAAATCACAAAAGCATTATCACCGGGATGTGTGAAATTTAATAACTGACTTTTTTATTAACTGACTTTTATAAAATTCTCATTCCTCACAAGTACTGCATATCGCAGGAGACTACTTTCCTACAAATGCCTACACAATTTCACTAAACTGCCATGTAGGTGTGAGAAATATGGACCTATGTTTTTATCACTGAGAAATAAAAATGTCTACATTTAAAATGAAAAAAAGCCAAACTATGAACATTGTGTGTCACCCCACTATATGTGCTTATGAAGTAGGTCCATCAATGTGTTCCACCTCTGAGCTATGTCTTGCAAACACAAATACATTATTATACCAGCATACAGGTTAAACAGTCAGAGGAAATATAGACAAACAGAAGACTCACGCTACTCGCCGCAGGCTAATAATCAGCTGACTGGTGTCCGGAGCTGTGGCTCTTTGGAGTTTTAGATAACAAATTACATTTGCTCGTTTGTCTTCGAGCCAGCAACGGATGTCCAAACGGATGTTTTCTGGAAAGAGATGCAGTTAAGATGTTCAGCTCTTTAATACTGTCGTTTATTAAGACAGCTCAAGCCAATTAGTCACACACTCAGCAAGAGCTTTTAATTAAGCTAGTCAAAACAAAGCTTCATTACAGTGTGTACACATACAGGCTAAATATGAATTTAAAAAAAATATTAGCAATAAATAAAAAAATATAGTCCTTAGCACAAGGACTTTTTTCATTTTTTCTCCATTCAATTTAATTATTTCAAATGCATACTGCTTTTCTCTGCATGTTGGGTTTTTTCCAAGCTAGTTTCTATTACAGTGATCCCGTTTTCTTATTGCACCATTATAGATGCAGAGCTGTGTCTTTTAGAGAAAATGGCTCAACGAGCCATAAATCTACTCACTCATATAATATTTTTATAATGCAATTGTCTTAAAGTCTAAAACTGAGTGGGGAAGTAATGAGAATCGATTATCATGACTACTGATTTGATAATTAAACCTAATGCGCAGCTTTCGTCTCCTCTGCCTTGGCATCTCAGAGAGGTGGCTGGGAGAAGCATCATCTTAACAAATAAGATCTTCAAGACCTTTAACTAACAGCCGATGTGTAAAAATGATGTAATGTCATGTCAGGACTAAAGATTGCATGCTACCTAAGTTATTTTGTGATTTCTACATTTAGTGACAACGTCTCTGAAACTGTTTTCTACAGCTACAGTAACATATAATACCAGATTCAATGTAATATGTACTGTAGTAATAGTAGTACATCTAAGTAGTAAAAGTTAAGGAGGCTGGACTTGGCATAGAGAGTTCATTAATTCCACTGTTGTGAGGCTGCTGAACTGATGAGCGGTGAAACATCCAGCAGCCTTCAATTTTTAATTGGCCTAAAAAAAATCTTTACAGATAAACATGCAGTAAGTGAAGATTACCAGAGACGACTTGAGATACACTGGAATCTTCTGTGATATTTGTGGAGTTTTGGATGTGACACTGATACTGGTGAAGGCCATTGACATGACTGAGGCTCTGATTGTGAACGTTGGAGCTAGTGCTGGCCTCACTGGCCTTTCCATTGGAAGTCAGTACACAGCACAGCTGAGCTCTCCACTGCAGATCCTGATACACACCAGGCAAGCCATTTAAAGGGCTAACAGCAACTGCAACTGAAAGAGACCCATTTACTGCATTGAACAATTACCACAAGTTTATACACATATACAGTGTATAGTGTATACATATATGTATATATATATATATATATATATATATATATATATATATATACATATATATATAGACATATATACACTGCTACACTTGCTCATTCATGCAATTATCCGATCAGACAGTCATGTGGAAATGTGGCAGCGCAATACATAAAATCATGCAGATACAGGTCAAGAGCTTCAGATACTGTTCAGAATGGTCAAATGTCAGAATGAGGAAAAAATGTGATCTCAGTGACTTTGAGCGTGGCATGGTTGTTGGTGCCAGAAAAGCTGATTTGAGTATTTCAAAAATGGCTGATCTTTTACACTGAACGGTGCGATAAACAAAAAACATCCAGTGAGTGGCAGTTCTGCAGGCGAGAATGCCTCACTGATGAGAGATGTCAGAAGAGATGAGCCAGACTGGTTCGAGCTGACATGAAGGCTACAGTAACTCAAATAACCACTCTGTACAACCGAGACTCACAGAAATTGGACAGCTGAAGATTGGGAAAAACGTTGTCTGGTCTTTTTCCAGTCATCAACTGTCCAATCTCGGTGAGCCTGTACCCACTGTAGCCTGCGTTTTTTTTCTTCAAACTCACCCAGCAAAACAGTTTTTAGAAATGAGAAAAATTTTAATGTCTTAAAAATACAAACACAATATCATGTTTTTCCTTTCCTAAATAAAGTCTTTAAAAACTGTTCATAGAAATGCCTGTGATTTTTCTTCTTTTTCTTAATACAAATCCACTGGTGGACTATAAGAATATGTAAAAGCAGGTCCTTTTCTCTCTTTCACACGTTCCATTCAACATCAGTCCATATA